AGAGGGCCTCAAGTTAAGACCCTCTCCTCATTGGTCAGTCCACACGAGGTGGGTCAAAGGTTACTCTGGGTGGCTTACGTGTTGTCAGGCATTCAAGTATTGAGTATATTTACTGCATATTACAGTAAAATATTCTGTATGTGACCACATTATGGTGATCCTTGGGTTGTGATGATGGAGCCCTTGAATATTGTTGCCCAGGGTACAACAAAGTGTTAATCTGGCCCTGGTTCCGCCGTCACATTCCCGCAGAAACTGGTTGATCACACCGGGGCCAGACTACTAGTATGTGGTTTTACAACCACAATGTCCTCAGAAGCAAAAACGCTTTTAAAAGGGAGGGAGGAGTCCTAACTGTTGCTGCAGGCGTGTTGTGTGAGAGTGCAGTTATATACTGGTTAATATATTTTTGGGTTCAGTTGCTTTCATGTGGCCTAATGTGAGTCTATTTGGGATCATTGGAATGATCAGCAGCATTTCTTGATGTGACTTTATGGCAGTTGCCCAGGGCATCATCGCAAGGAGGATGGCATTCATTTACTTTTGTTTTATTTGGTATTTTTTCAGTCATTTTTGGAAATAGTGATCAATTTTGATTAATTCACAGCCTATGTTTAATTACATTTAAAATAAATGTCAACAGATGAGATCAAGCAAAACAGATGAGAATTGCCCTTAAGCTGTTTAACTTGGACCAAGCATTTTAGGTCACAGATAGATGTAGCTTAGGGTCTCTGTCTATACACCTTATAAGACAATTTAGGTGATGGCATGTTGTTTTTCTGCTATTGAACTGTTTTCTAATAATGTTGTGTTAAATAAAGTGAAGGAAGGAGAGAAATAACGTTTCCCTAGCAGTTTTTAAAAATTTCCCCATGTAATCCGATTAATCGATTAATCGTGTCGAGACCCCATCCGATTCATCGATTATCCAAATAATCGTTTGTTGCAGCCCTAATTAACAGTGAGTCATTTATCCGTGCATTCACCATCTTACAACATCTTGTGTTTTTATTCTTTAGATTGTTGTGTCTGCATGTTTTTTTAGTTAGTCCTTCTATTTTTATCATCTGCCACCTGTGAAAGGTAATAATGGATGATGTTGGTCTGTGTGTTTTTGCAAAATATCTCCTGAACCACTGAATGGCTTTGAACAAAACTCTCCAAAACTAATTACTGGATTAACTTTCAGTGTCAAACCAAGTCAAAATGGCTACTTTGCTAATCCAACTGAAAATCTTTTTTGTGTTCCTGTGCAGCATTGCAAAATCCTGCTTGGGAATGACTACTTTGAAACCAAAGTTTAATCAATACTTGTCAAATTGATTGGGTTTTAGCCATTTTTATGTCTGCCAGTACGTGTTAGGTGTGTTGGTTGTCTGGAATCAGGTTGAATACTCAAAATGTACTCAAATCCATCAGTGGTTCATGACATAATTTGCCACAGCCCAGTTCACACGGCAGGATGATCGTCTAGCCACAACCCATTGATGGATCTCAGTCATGGAGCACGATCTACAATTGTCTTTCAGACTGTACATGGAACTGAACAACATGACAAACTCACCGCTACAGATGTTAGTCAACGGGGCAGAACTTAAGTACCTCTATCTGCTCTTGACTCAAAGAAAAGCCCAAGTCTAAATAGTTCAGAGTTGCCATCTTAGTTAAGTCTCAGTAGCATCCCACCCACTAAACTGATAGAGTGCTGTGATTGGCCAGCCACACAGAGTGGCCGTGGCTGTGGAGGTTCCAATGGAGCGTGGCTAGACCGACATGTAGGGCAAAGTCATTTTGCTTTGGCAACTGATTGTCTAGATTTCTAGGCTATACGAACTGTGTTAATTTGCTGCATTGTTTCCCATCTGACACACTTTCCTTAACAACAGTCATTTTAATTGGCTGAACCAACCGCTCTGATATTATTCAGAGTAACTGCTTTAGCAGTACAGCAATTATCTCCTCTGTAAGTGTTAGCTGTTCTAGTCTGACTGGTTGTTCCAGTTCATAAAAAGGACCTATGAATAGAAATCAATGTGACTCACTAATCCAGGTGAAGTGATTGGTGAGCTTTTACAAATTGAATACAGTTTGTGCTGAGACACTGGGTCAGTGTGTACTTTTGACGCACCCCAGAGCGAACTGAATACTGTATACTGCAAACACACACACACACACACACACACACACACACACACACACACACACACACACACACACACACACACACACACACAGTTTGTTTTTCTCTCAGCTGGCTCTCGCACACACTTCACAAAGTTGCCTCCATTATAACAAACACAGCTCCTTGTTATTTCTTTTCCACACTGCGTCCTTTTCACACAAGTCACACACTGACTCCTCTCTCTTTTGCATATGCAAATGCAACAATGAATCCCCTTTTTGTAACAAAGGCTGCTTTTAATCCTACGGAAAAATCACAGATGTGCTTGTGTTTATTGCTTCCTATTTTTAAAGGGAGTTTTGTGCCACCATTTAGTCAACTTTGGTAAAACAACATCTAAGCACGAAGGCTGTTTTCAGCCCTCACTCACAGAATCAAACCCTAACCCTAGTGTTCATCTGCGTGCTTTACATAAGTGTGGACATGAAAATTTGCTATTACGTACATTTAATTTACCAAACTTAAGTGCTTACATGAAGAATGTTTCTCTAGAAAAGGTTGATTATGATGACTACTGGTTTTATGATGGGCCAGGGCCGTTTCTAGCATTGTGGGGGCCCTATGCAAGATAATGTTCTGGGCCCCCCTATTTTGACAAACTGCAATTGATGATCTATAAACACACAGTGAATTGTCACAGATTGCAAACAAAACATGGTACAGTATTAAAATTAAACACTCACTCAAGAAATATAAGTAACTAATACAAACTAGAAAGCAGAGTGCAGACCTCCACCATGGGAGGGGTGTTCACATCACACATACCATAATAAAGGGGCTAAGTGCATGTGAACAAGTACGACAACAATTGATTAAAGATTCCTGTATCAAGACAGTGGTCAAGATCACAATCTTTCTGATGGTCTGAAATTCAATTATCTTAATAAATATATAACTCTGGTTTTATTGGGCTATTAACATTCAAAGCTGGTGTGTAGTTTATAATTAGGATTTTAAACCAAAACAGTATACAAGCATTTGATTTTTCTTCAGAAATTTCTGAATAGAAAATGTAAATGTACATGAACAAAAAATCTGAAATAGCAGAAATCAAGCATAACATGTATTGCAACCTTGTATTGATGTATTTATTTGTACAACTTTCAGTATCTGAGTTTCTGAAGATACTGTCTGTCAATGTTCAGGAGTGTTTAGCTGTTGTGGTATTCTGCAGAGCAGTTCTTGTCCTGCTGCAGACTAAACTATTTCTTACACTCTTTGCACATCCAGGGAGTGTTTTTATTTTTTTTGCACAGAGTGTACCTGTTTCACCCCTGACCTGCCCTGTGCTTTGTCTATCCCTTCTCCACTGGTCCAGGGGACTAACCTGGCCTGCCAGACTCGTCCTCTGTTTAATTCTGCACAGAGAGAGAGTCTGGTTACTCACAGGCAGAGAGGCACTTGAGGGGCGGGACTAGGCAGCTCAAAGTAACCCATCAGAAAAAAGACGGAAATCCTGACTGTACCGCACGATGCTGTAGTTTTCTAGTTGAAGTGAAAAAAAGGCATTTGGCAACGATGAATATATCTTTCATTTTTTTTAGAAGAAATGCTTTTAGTGCTTCTACTTGTGTTTTTAAAGACATTCAATGACATTTAGAACAGAGGAAAGAGCCGCTAAACGCCACCACTGTCTTTGTTGTTTATGAGAAAATGAGCGTCGCTGTGTGTGACATCCGCCTACGTAAGGGAAACCCTGTGATCCTATCTTTATTTTTTTAGATTTTAGACTTTTTACTCTTTAGATTCTAGCAGGAAATTTCAGACTCTGCCACTCAGACTTATGTCTTCAGGTGTGTATTCTAGTTAATCCTTTCAAGTTGGGACTTGAAAATTTGTTGAAAACTCAGCAGAAATTAGGGTTTAATTGCTGTTTATTGAGAGAATCCAGTTGACGTGGCTCGGGCATCTAGTTAGGGTGCCTCCTGGATGCCTCTCTGGTGAGATTTTCTGGGCACGTCCAATCGGGGGAAGACCTAAAGGAAGATCCAGGACATGCTGTAGGGACTATGTCTCTCAGCTGTCCAGGAAACGCCCCTGGAGGAGCTATCCCAAGTGGCCGGAGAGAGGGCAGTCTGGGCCTCCTTGCTTAGGCTTCTGCCCCCGTGACTTGTCTCCAGATAAGCGGCCGAAAATGGATAGATGGATGCTGTTTAAAAAAGCTGCAAAAAGCAACAAAAATCATTATATGATTGATGGAGAATTTCTGCTTAAACTTGTACAATTTCATGGCTGGATTTAAGAATACCTACCTGAAAGTGCTGGATGGCAGCATTGTTGTTTAGAACAATTTGCAAATACATTCAGTCTTCATCCTTCAGGTCAATGTTTGCGTAAAAAATTGACCGGAAACAATCCCTTCTGGTCGACTGGTGATGCAAAGTCTCTAAGAGGTAGCTTCTTCATGCCGTTTTGCTTCTCAAAAGGCAAACATTTGGAAGAGACATCACGTGGTAGCTGGGAGGGAATAGTTGATCCACCATGCATGTTTCCACTGCACAAGCCTTGTGGTGAACTAAAATGAAGCATTGAAACATGGGACCTTTGAAGTGGTGCTGAGCTGAAAGCAGCCTCTAACCACTGATCTGCTAAACAGCCCAACCCCAGCACATCAACATTTCCACAGGATCCCTATTCGTAAAGCCAGATGTGCTGGATGACCAGGCTGTTTGGTGTGCAGAGAGGCACAAAAGCTGTTTTCAGAGCCAACAAAAATAATTTTGTTAAATTATTCTATTTCTTTCTTGTTGTCTGCTCCTATTTTCATGACTTAAATTATTTTAGCTGCTCTATTAAACATTTTTTTGTGTTCCAGGAGGAGGAGATGCCAGAGGTAGAGATCGACATTGATGACTTGTTGGAGATGAACAACGATGATGATAGAGCGATCAAACTGCAGGTAAATTCAGCATTTCCTGCTGTGCTGTCAGCCAATTAATGACATTCAGTATATTCAACAGCATTATGCAAGATCCAAAGGACTCAGATTTTGGTTTGTTTTTTTTTTTTTGGCTGTTTGTTTTTCATGTTTAAAGTGGGCCAATGCTGATGAATAATAGCTTTGGAGAATTGAATTGGGTTTTAACAACCTAAAAACGGCAAAATGGTTTCAGAAAATCAGAGAATGCAGTTTAATTAGCAACATTCTAATTACTGATGTTCAAACTCAAATGGAAATCCCAACACTTCATTTGTTCTGTTTTGTATATCAATGTATTCACTAGGTGAAGATTTTACACATAAAATTAACCAAAAAAGTGCCACAAAAAACCACAAATTTAATTGAAATTGCCTTTCTACATTTTTGCTGCAAAGCTGATTTGTTGGCACACTCTAAGAAATAAAAGGTTGAGTTTACTTAACCACCAATGGTTCCAATAAACCTAATTGCTTAAATGAAAATAATAATATACATTTTAATATGATATGTTAAAAGTAAATGTGTATTACTTTTACATTTAATGCAATAATACGTGTTTGCCAGTTCTCCCTCCTACTGGCTGAAAGCAGAATTACAACTGCCATAAACAACCCTGTTAAAGCTTGCTGTAGCTAGTGCTAACAATAAGCTAATGCTAACACTAGCTAACTAAAATAATAAATAGTCCGCAAAGTAAAAAGTTTCACATGGTTGGACCAAAAATTATTATTACTTACAAGTCCAGTAGCAACAAAGCCAGGTCATCATCAGTCTAGGACTTTGTAGCCCCCTTCAGATCCCTCAAACTAGTGTTGGCCGTGCCGATGTTCACTCTGGTTTTAGCTCTTTGCTTCACCTCCAAAGACGTTACTGTCTTACTTCTACCACCAGGCTCTCCCATGATGACAACAAAAAAGCAAAAGTCTTCTTGTGATTTTTATTGACGGTTGGTGAACTGAAAAAAGCTAACTGCTAGCCTTTAAATTAAGTACAGGCAAAGTAAACAGCTTTTGCTGTGAAGCAGGTAGAGACATCTCACTAGTGTTTCTACCTGAACCACAAAACTTTTAAGTCCAGTTTCATGTCAGCAGAGGGCTGAGTGCTGTCCAGTGTGAAGTAGGTTAAGTTTATGACTCAAGAATCACTGAAACCAGTTTGAAAGCAATAGCTTAAAGTGGTAAAAACTCTTAAGTGTTCCTTTAATGAGAGCCCTCATTTAAAAGAAGTTCAAATAAATAACAAATTTACAGAACACTGCAAAAAAACTCTTTAGTGTTGCTTTAAGTCGCTAGGTTTAGTGGAACCTATTAGCATAACTTGCAAATGTAAATTAGACATTTAATTTCTTAGAGTGTGCATTTTAAATTATTCCTGTGCTTATAACAATATTTCATGGCATTATTGTTTACTTAATTATTTTGGTGCACAACATGTAGTCATCAAAAAGGACTGCACCTCAACCAATCACAAAGCAGATGTAGGAATGACGGTGAAAATACCACCAGGATTGTGCAACGAGTCACATCTCTGAAATGTCTGTTTGTCCTTCTTTACACAGGAATCACTAATAGACTGTGGCAAACCAACAGAGGTGAGTTTAAGTGTTGTACACATCACATAATGCTCAGTTTAAATCAAATGTCCTAAAAGTGACAATAAATTAATCAGTAGCTGTTTGCCTTATGTCAAATCGTTCTGCATTGTATTGTTACATATAAGTGTAGAGACGTGGATAAAAGTGGTAGTACCCTTCTGTTTAAGCAAAACCAATAAAAGTAATTTTATAATAATACATTTGAATGGACAAAGGTAACAGCATCTGGTCTAATGAGGACAGAGGTAAGCGATTATAAGGTCAAATTAGATCAGGTTGGGCTTTTTGAGTAATCAAAGGTATGACCAACCAATCATATTAAGTCACCACATGGCAGCCTGTCCCAATATGACCCCCATCTGCCATTTGATGATTTGTGTTTGTCTGTGAAAATCACTTGGCCAACAATATCCAAAGCCACATCTGTAACCAGCTGTTTGGTCATGCCACACACATTCACAAAAGATGCTTTCGGACTGCAGGAACCCTTTGTAGTTCTTCCAATCATTGCAGGAACCAGCCTGTTTTTGTGTTCAGACAGATAGGGACTAGGAACCTTTCCCCTTGGTACCTAGAACCATTTTGGCTCCTACTCTGAGGCAGAGGGTGTTCCTCAATGTCAAGGTGCCTGGCCTTGCGAGGCCAGGCTCTTTTCTTACAAGGACACTGTCCTTCCTTGGTCAAAAAAAATGGTTAAATGGAACATACTTGCATCACATGACCACGGCTTCCACGGTGGTCACTTAACGTCACTTGACACGGGTGATAACATTATATTTTATATGTATTCGTTTCAATATAAATATATAACAAGACTTTTACTTTTTAAATTGTGTATATGTTTATTAAATTAAAAATATAAGCGCATTACTACCCGCTAGCCACCGAAGCTGCAACTACTAAGCAACTAACCGATAATAGATAACTTCTATAACCGCTTCCGGTCGGTAACAAGATGGCGCCTGTGCTTGGCTTAGCCGCAGTCACCGGCCACCTTTTCAAACTTTTCTCCACTAACCTCCTCTTTACCACCTTGCTCCTGTCTGCGATCCTCTTCAGTAGTGTACCTGCTACCATCTCCTATGATCGCCAGACTCTTTTGTCCTTCCGTTCGTTCACGATCGCCCAAGATGCACCGAGGACGTACCATCCTGTTTGTTTACCTGAGTGGCGCACCGGCCCGGAGCCAAACGACGGTCCCGAGCTGCGCACCTCCAGCTATGTTTGTCTGGTCTCAGGAAAACGTCGGAGGAAAAGAGGTAAACGAGCAGGAATCCAGGTGAGAATAAGACTTCTCTTAAAGCGTGGTTTATCTGGTAAACATCGGCGCAATCTTCTAGCTTCTTGTCCTTTGTTTGGTGACCTGAGCGCCACTTCCGCATTCCCGCCAGGCCGCGTTGCGGCGCGGTTTCTCCGTCCAAGTTTTTTAAGGTTGGTTTATCCTCATTCCTCAGTGGTTTCTCCTCCTGTTCCCTCCATAAGTGGTTTTTATAAACACCGTGTATCTAACCCTGCTTATTTACGTCCACTAACTCCAGGTGTTTGTGTAGTTTCTGATTCCTCCACCTCACTCAGCATGGCTCTATTAAATACCCACTCTGTTAACAATAAGTCCTTCCTGCTCAATGATCTAATTCTCTCTAAAAACCTGGATTTTCTGTTTCTAACTGAAGTTTGGCAGCAAACATCTGATTATTCTGGTCTGACTGAACTCTGCCCGAGTGGTTATTCTTTTCTTAGCCAGCCCCGGGGTTCTGGTCGTGGTGGAGGCCTAGCTGTTGTTTTAAGAGACCATCTTCTATGTAGCTCTACAACCTCTGGTCACTTTGCTTCCTTTGAACTGCAGCTGATTAAAGTCGGGTGTAAGGACCCGTTCTACTGTGCTGTGGTCTATCGTCCACCTGGTCCAAACAGTTCTTTCCTTCAGGAGTTTAGTGACTTTCTATCCTCCACTGTGAAGCTGTCCAGACTGGTGGTTGTTGGTGACTTTAACATCCACGTTGATGATCCCTCTGATCAGTTTGCCATGAATTTCTCCAGCCTTATGGACTCCTTCAGCTTTACCCAGCATGTTTATGCCCCACACACACCAGGTGGCACACTCTAGACCTTGTTTTTACCCTGAGTCTAAATGCTGACAGTGTTTGTCCTGAGGATGTTTATATTTCAGATCACCATTGCATTTTCTTTAACTTGTCAGTTTCTGCGTCCCCACCTCCTGCTCGCCGTATGGTTAGTTCTCATTTTCTTAATGAGAGCACAGCTAGCAATTTTTCTGCTGCTTTTGATCCACCCTGTTCTTCGGATAACGACCCAGATTCCTTAACTTCTCAGTTTAACGAGCACTGCCTCTCCATTCTGGACAACATCTGTCCTGTCAGAACCAGATCAGTTCCTGCAGTGAACCCTACTCCCTGGTTTAATGACAGCCTTCGCAGAAGCGCCAATGCAGAAAAATTGAGCGTTTGTGGAAGAAAACCCATCTCCACGTCCATCTGCTGCACCTAAAGGATCTTCTGACATCCTTTAACTCTGCAGTCAGAGACGCTAGGGTTTCCTATTTCTCCAACCTGGTGTCCCAGAGCAAAGGGAACCCCAAGGTGCTGTTTAACACCATCAGCAGCATCATCTCTCCTGCCTCTCCTACAGCCTCCATCCACTCTGTTGCAGACTGTGAGAACTTTCTGTCTTTCTTTGTGGACAAAGTCAGTAAGGTTAGATCTAGCATCTCTCCTTCAGCCTTATCGCTGCCTCTCCCGACTCCAACCAGGCCCATCATCCTAGATAGCTTTGCTCCTGTTTCTTTGCCTGAGTTAACCAAACTAGTTAACTCTATGAAGACCTCTGCATGCCCCCTCCACATCTTACCCTCATCTTTGTTTAAAAGTGCTTTTCAGTCCATCGGTACCAGCGTGCTTTCTATAATTAATGCTTCTCTGGTCTCTGGTCAGGTCCCTGCTTACTTTAAGAACGCTGTAATCCACCCGCTTCTTAAAAAACCGAGTCTCGACGCCTCTCTCCATAGCAGCTTCAGACCCATCTCTAAACTTCCGTTCATCTCCAAGATCTTGGAAAAGGTTGTGGCTAAACAACTCACAGCTGCTTTTGATGAACATAACATCTATGATAGCTTCCAGTCAGGTTTTCGTAGAGCTCATTCTACTGAAACAGCTCTTCTTAGGGTCTCTAATGACCTTCTGACTCACAGTGATGCAGGGAACTGTTCTGTTCTGGTCCTGCTGGACCTGACTGCAGCCTTTGACACTGTTGACCATCACCTGCTTCTGGAGAGGCTGAGACTGGGTAGGCCTATCAGGATCTGCTCTGGAGTGGTTCTCCTCTTATCTTTCTGAGCGTTCCTTTTCTGTGGCCGTCTCCAAGTTTAGGTCCTCCACCACCTCCCTTACCCATGGTGTCCCACAAGGTTCTGTGCTGGGGCCTCTGCTCTTCCTCCTCTATCTGCTTCCTCTTCAGCACATCCTGAGCTCCTTTAAAGGAATCTCCTACCATCTTTATGCAGATGACATCCAACTGTACATCTCCTTTAAGCCCCATGAGATGTCTAAGCTGCAGCTGTTACACACCTGCTTAGACTCTCAAAACCTGGATGGCTGGGAGCTTTCTACAGCTGAATGAAGATAAGACTGAGATCCTCATCTGTGCCCCAGACAAGCTGGTTCCCAAAGTCAGAGACTCTCTTGGTCAGCTTGCTTCCCACACCAAACCTTCCGTCAGGAATCTTGGCGTGACCTTTGACCCAGCTCTTACCCTGGATTCTCATGTCAGTTCTCTTGTTCGCTCTTCCTTCTTCCATCTCAGGAACGTTGCTAAGCTGAGTCCCATTCTGTCTCGCTCTGAACTTGAGACAGTTCTCCACACCTTCATCTCCTCACGCTTAAGCTGGGTTGACACTGTGCAACTTTTTCACTCGTAGCACTCAGCTTCAGCTCAAACTGTACGACTTCCTCGCAGGGCAGATCTCACGAGTCATGTGCTCACACCGTACATCCCAGTTCTCGGATGCAACCTGACTGCTCACACTGTACGTCTGGTAGCAACACGTCGGACCTAAAAATATGCTAAAAAGAGCAGTTTTTACACAACACGTCAGACGTTTCTGTCTTGCCTGTTGTCCTTCGGGAGTGCTGCAGGAGGACACACAGGGATTTATGGGGGTTGGATGAGGAAAACGAAATAAAGAAAGTAAATCTGTGTTTTGTGATCAGTTTAATTTGATATGAACACGACAAACACGCTTTCTTGACAATCTTTGTGAGTAAAAAAATGTGAAGAAATAAAAACGAACAACGTGTGTTATTAGCAGTGTTGGGCAAGTTACTTCAAAACTGTAATGCATTATTTATTACTTGTTACCCTCATGTTCAAGTAATTCATTACATTACAATGTTACTGATTTTAAAATGTAAGGCATTACACTACTTTTGCATTACTTTAAGTTACTTTCACCAAAACAACTTCAATATGAATCTGGTAATGTGACGCTCAGTGAGCTCATGACATATATGTGGAAAGTGATGTGGTGTCTGAGCTAGGATTGCTGTTAAAACAGTCAGATATAATAACAGTGCTTTAAATTGATTGTTTATTAAATGAAAGCAACAACAATCTGTACTCTCAGCACGCTGCCATCTTATATTAACTGAGCAGGGAGTGAGGTGGTGGGGGCTCCAAGCCTATATTTGCCTTGGTCCTCAAATGCCTTGATACGGCCCTGGATGTGGGACTGACTTCTGGGGTGATCTGATTCTATCACATGTATAAATATTAAATGCTTATATATTATTGCTTTTCAGTGGTAAAAATGAGTATTAGGGATAAAACTACCTACTTTTTTTCTTTTCAAGCTCTTAGTTTTCTTTTCTTGATTTTGTTTGAATAATTTCCTGCCCTTTCTCTCTCTAATCTTCCTGTACACTGCATGTTTTCTCCGTCTTCCAGAAAAACTGTTCCCTAGATTCCCTACTTTCTAACTAATC